TCTACTGAGCAGGCATGGGCTCCTTTGGTGTGGGTGCTGTGCCAGCCCGGGTTCTCCTGCCAGCCGGTGTGGCTCCGTGTTTGAGCATCGACCTATGAACCAGAAGGTCACAGTTAATTCATTCTCAGTCAGGGCCCGGGTTTCGGATTCCATCCCCAGTGGGAGGCATGCAGGAGTAGTTGATCCATGCTTCTCTCTCGTCATTGATGTTTCTCTCTATCTCCCTCTTTGAAATCAATAAAAACATACATTTTTTTTTAGTATACTTTATTGATTTTTTACAGAGAGGAAGGGAGAGGGATAGAGAGTTAGAAACATCGATGAGAGTCATTGATCAGCTGCCTCTTGCACACCCCCTACTAGGGATGTGCCCGTAACCAAGGCACATGTCCTTGACCGGAATCGAACCCGGGACCCTTCAGTCCGCAGGCCGGTGCTCTATCCATTGAGCCACACCGGTTTTGGCTGCTTACTTTATTATTACTTTCCTTTTTGTTGATCCCTACCCGAGGATAATTTTTCCATTGATTTTTAGAGAGTGAAAGGGAAGGAGATATGAGAGAGAGAGGGAGAGATCAGTAGCCTGTGACCCAGGTACGTGCCCTGAACTGGAAATGGAAACCAAGACCCTTCATGCATGAGCTGATGCTCTAACCACTGAGCTCCACTGGCCGGGCTGAATTGCTCACCACTGGCCGGGCTGAATGGGTGACTATCTGGTATGCATATCATATCTCAATAAAGCTGTTTTTTAAACAACAAGAAGAGAGCACAAGAATTGCAACCGCCAGGCAGATCCGGAGCGAATGATGTCCTGGAAGATAACTGGGCTGGACTTGCCCAAAGTGCATGGCGGGTGGGGGCGGGGCTGCTCCATTTGAAAGAGACCGAAAAGCAGGGGCTGGACGGGATCCTGTGACAACCACCGCGGGACAACGGGCGCCTGGCTGCGGGTGAGACCTCAGGCGGTGTCATGGATCATCGTGAACGTCCTGGCGGGCAAGCCCTCTGTTTATCGAGGGGAGCATTCCTCTGGGGGCACACGGAGGAGAATCTGGGGGTGGCGCTTCCTGATGTCTGCGCGTGCACAGCAACAGTGTGTGTTTGAGTGTGTGAGTGTGTGAGTGAATGTGTGTGCGAGTGTGTGTGAATGAATGTGAGAGTGTGTGAAAGTGAGAGCATGTGTGAGTGTATGAATGTGAGTGTCTGTGTGTGAGTGAATGTGTATGAGTGTGTGTGTGTATGAGTGTGTATGTGTGAAGAGCAACAAAAATCAAACAGCAAAATATCAGCACCTGGTGGTGCAGGTGCCCAGGAGCCGCCCTGGCTATGTGGTTGGTGCTGGAGAGGGAGTCAGAGAAGGTCACCTGTCCTGGCATTGATCCTCAGTTGTCCCTAGGATCTCACCCCCGAGGGTGACATGAGAGGCAGACCCTCGCTCCCCACGGCCAAGTTCATCTACTCCCAACAGCCGACCCGGTGCTCCCACCAGGCCTGGGTCCCCCACCCTCACCCCGCCATCCCCGCCCTCCAGCCCCGGCTCCCCGTGCTCCACAGGCCAGGCCGCAGGAGGCCTCTCTCCCAGACGCACCCTGATGGATGGCCTCCTGCACCCCAGCCGGAGCCTGGCCCAGACCACCAGGCTGCGGGGGACGGGGTGGCCGACACCCCGGGGCAGGGCGGGCTCTGAGAAGGGCCCTCGGGGCCGGTCCCTCTCCAGACTTCTCCGGGGAAGCAGAAGTGCGTCTGTGACATGACCTGTCGCTGCTCTCATGACCGGGAGGTGAGGGCTCTGGAAGCTGGTCTTGACTGGGGAGGTGAGGGGTTAGGAAGCTGGCCTTCCCCGAGGAGGAGAGCGGACAGGAAGTGGCCTTTGAGGAGGTGAGGGCACAGGAAGCTGGCCTTCCCCGAGGAGAGACGCAGCCGGGCACCTCGCCTGAGGGCAGGGCGCTGTGTCTCCACGTCCCGCGCTGCCAGCCTCCCTGCCCGGCCCCGTCAGCCTCCAGGCCCAGTGCCAGTCTGCACTCGGGCCTGCTGCGCCCGCTTGTCCCCTGAGGACGTGAGGGGCTGGGGGCTCCTGGGCCCCGCGCGGAGCGGCTGCAGGCGGGTGGACAGGCGCACCCCCAGGTGAAGGAGGCTGCCGCGGGGCAGGTCGGGATTTCGGGGCATGAAGCTTGACCGGCCAGGCCGCTCGACGCTGCTGAGGCTGTTTCTGCTGCCCCACGGGGGCCTGCGGGTCCGAGGTGGAGGGTCATCACGCTGTCACTCGCTCGTGACCCACTTGGATCCAAGTCACGAGAAACCCAGCCCCCACAGGCCCAACAAACAGGAGGCGCTCATTCCGGGCTCCAGCATCCGGGAACTTCGTCCTTCGCAGGACTCCAGGCCCGAGCTTGAGTGGAACTCAACCAATCAGAAGCCCGCTTCCCATCACCCCAAGCGACAAGATGGCGTCCTGGTACCAGAACCACTTCTCTGTCCGCTTAGCAGCACTTGGCGGGGGGGGGGGGGGGGGGGGGGGGGGGGGGGGGGGGCGTTATTGGCCCAGCTCAGGTCACGTGTCCGTCCCTGAACCAATGGCAAGGTCAGAAATGTGGTGCTCGGATTGGCCAAGACGCCCTGCCCATCAAGGTGCCTACAGGGAACCCTGAGCCCCTGACTGCAGGGTGGTGCCAAGGTCTCCTCTCTCAGACCGCCCCACCCCAATGTCTCTTCTCTGGAAATCTCTCGTCTACCGCTGTGCTAAGAACGGTCACTCACGGAGCCGTTCCTCTGTGCGGGGCCTCACTTCCTTACCTCGCCGTAGGAAGGTAACTGCCTTCCCAAAATAGGACCATCACGGTCTCAACATTATAGGCCCGCGGTCGGCAAACTCATCCGTCCACAGAGCCAAATGTCAACAGCACAACGATGGACATTTCTTCGGAGAGCCACATCTTTTTTTTTTTTTTTTAAAATATATTTTATTGATTTTTGTACAGAGAGAAAGGGAGAGAGAGAGTCAGAAACATCGATGAGAGAGTCATCGGTTAGCTGCCTCTTGCACACCCCTACTGGGGATATGCCCGCAACCAAGGTACATGCCCTTGACCGGAATCGAACCCGGGACCTTTCAGTCCCCAAGCCGATGCTCTATCCATTGAGCCAAACCGGTTCCGGCGAGCCACATCTTTTTAAACTTAAACTTCTTCTAACGCCACTTCTTCAACAAGGACTCGCCCAGGCCGTGGTCTTTTGTGGAAGAGCCACCCACAGTCAAGGGGCCAGAGAGCCACATGTGGCTCGCGAGCCACAGTTTGCCGACCACGGTTATAGGATTCTGTACCTGGGAGAACACTTTGAAGGGTTAGTCCAAAGCTGCCACTTTGGAGTTCTCATTTATGATACCTGTTACCGTTATGACTGAAGGACACCGGGTGGGGAGGCCAGGAGCCTGGGTCCCATGCCTTCCCGAGCCGACCTGAGCCAGTCACCTCCGCGCCTTGACCTCTGAAAGGCCAACCACCTGCTAGCAGGGGACTCCTGGAGGTGGCACAGTTAGTCTTCAACAAGTCCCAGGCTCGAACTTCAAGGAAGCTGCAGGGGAACGGAGACGCTGCAGGAAGGGCCTTGGGCGGGTTCAGAGCCCTCTGCTAGCTTCTTTCAGAAGCCGAGTGCAGGTGCTTCCCAGCTGCGATTGTTCTAGACCTTCTTCTCTCACTAACGTGTAAGCTCCTCAAAAGCTTGATCTGAGAATATTTTTTCAGGCATTCTCTCCCAGATAGGATTTAAGCGTCTCCCTTCCTCGGGGCTCTAGGCCAAGATCCGGGGGCATACCGCAGGGAAGGAGACAGACGAGGCAGGGAGAGGGACTCCCAACAAGGCTACAGCCGAGGAGCGGGAGACATCGGGTGTGGGGGAACCACAGCAGGACCACGACGGGGAGAGGACTCCTGGCGAGCAGGGTGCTCAGAGTCAATGGCCCCTGAAACCTCCTGGTTCTCGGAAGGAGGGGGAGCCCCGGGGGCCAGAGCTGGGGACAAGCTCCAGGGCCCTGAGCTGAGAAAGGGCAGAGGGTGGGACAGCTGAGGGAGGAGAAGGGAGGAAAGGAGGCTCAGGGGCCGGGAGCCAGCTCCCGGGGATTCCTGGAGGCCCAGGCAGGGAGTGTGCGTGGGATCCAAGGGCGAATGGAAACGCTCACAGTGCTTCCCGCTACAGAGGGCCACGTGGAATCCCACCGGGCAGCGAGGGCTGGCGATGCTCCGCTGGCGGGAAGGGCCGCACGTGGAAGGTGTGGGACTACGGCCGAATGAATGAATGAATGAATGAATGGATGGATGGATGAAAGGATGGACGGATGCACACGTGCGGGGAAGGGGAAGGGGAAGGGCGGAGGCCTGTCTCCCGCGGGAGGCCCTGGCTCCAGGCCCAGCGCCCTGGCGCGGTGACCTTGGGCACCTCCCGCCCCAATCCCGGGCCCGGAACCCTGCGTCTCGGGGGCGGGAAGGACGTGCGGGGAGGGACGGTGCGCGCGCGCGGGCCCGGCGGACGGACGGGCGGCGTGTCGTTCGCGGACCGGTCCCGGGCCCGAACCCGAGCCACGGGCCGAACCCGCAGGACTGCGGCCGGGCCCCAACCCCGGCCGGCCACCCGCCGTGTTTACAGGACCCCCGCGCCGGCCACGCGGCTCCTGGCCGCGTCCACCCGGCGGGCCCCGCCCTCCGCCCTCCGCCGCGCGCGCGGGCCAGCCGGCCTCCCGCGTCCCGCCCCGCGCAGGCCCTGTCACGGGCCCCGCCCCCGGCGCAAGACACGCCCACATAGCCCCGCCCGTTCCGCCCTAGCCACGCCTCAAGACCCGCCCCGACCCGCAGACACGCCTACATAGCCCCGCCCCTTCCGCCCTAGCCCCGCCTCAGGCCCCGCCTCGCGCCGCCCACGCCCCCGGCGGCCGGGCACCTCGGCCAGTGTGCGCGGCGGAGGGCGGCGCGGGCGGCGGGCTGGGCCGGCCCGGGCCCGCGGGGCGGGGCGGAGGGTGGCGGGAGGGCGCGAGGGCGGGCCGGGGGCCGGTTCCGCGCGCCGAGATTTTTAAATGTCCCGCTCGCGGCCGGGCGCAGGAGCAGCCGGCTCGCCCGCCAGCGCGGTGTAGGGGGCAGGCGCGGATCCCGCCGCCGCCGCGCGCTCGCCCGCCGCCGCCTCCGCCGCCCGCCCGCCGCCCGCCGCCCGCCGCCCGCCGCCTCGGCGCGTGCCGCCCGCCTGTCGCGGACCCGCTTCGGGTGAGGCCCCGGCGGCGGGCGCGGCGGCGGGGGCTCCGGGTCCGGGGGTGGGGGGGTGGGGGTGGGGGTGGGGCGCCGGGGCGCGGGTCCCGGGGTGGGTGCGGGGCGAAGGCGCGGGGTGCCGGGCCGGGGGCTCCGGGAGGGCCGGGGAGGTGCTCGGGGGGAGACTGAGGCAGCCCGGGCCCCCAGCGCGGCGATCGGCCGGCGGAGCTCTGGGGGGGTGTCGGGCCCCCCCGCCGCCCCGAGCTCGGACCCGGAGCCGCGGGTGCTGGGGGCGCACGGGTGACAGGCCACCCGGCCCATCGGCCATTTTCCGGCGGCCGGCCCGGGAGGGAGGCTCCCGCCGCCGCCTGTGCCGCGCGGGCGGGGGAGGGGAGTCCGGGCCGCCGCCGCCCGGGCCCCTGGCGGCCGCCTCACCCCGTGCCCGCTTCGTGCCCCAGGCCCGAGTCTGACCGAGCCCCGCCATGCCGAGCGAGAGCCGGGAGAGCCGGGAGAGCAGGGAGAGGTGAGTGCGGGCCGGGGGTGGGGGGTGGGGTGGGGTGGGGATGGGGTGCAGGGGGGCTGCTGGGGCAGCGCCCTCACCCCGCCACCCTCACCCCCGCCCCGCCGCGCAGGGATGCCAAGGAGCCGGACCCCTCGAAGGAGGACAGTGGCGCGGACGCCTCGGCCCACTCCAGGAAGAGGAAGGCGAACGTGGCCGTGGTGAGTACAAAGGAGACAGGTGGGGGTGCCCGGCCGGCCCCCACCTCACCTGGTCCCAGGCTGGGCCCCGGCCACGTGTGTGCGGAGAGGGGGCACCCTGCGGCTGCTCCCAGCCTGACCGGCTTCCTCTCCCCTCTCCCGGTGCATCTCGGTCCGCTCCGCTCGGCGTGCTTCCTCGGGGTGGCTTGGTCCCCCCTTAGTTCCTGCAGGACCCCGATGAGGAAATCGACAAAATCGACAGGGCTGGGCCGAGCCGGGAGGACGATCAGGTAGGAGGGCCGCCCCGAGTGGGGGGGTGGGGGGAGGGCTGGCCCACCGGCGGTCAGCGGGTCCCATGCTGTCCGGCCGCCGATGGCCCAGGCTTTGTCGGCCGCCTCCTGGGGCCGAGCAGTGCCTGCTGTCAGGGGCCCGGAAGGGCTTGTGTTTCTCGTGGTGCCACGTGTGGAAGAACCAGGATGGACGTGGAGCGGCCGGTCCTCCCCTTTCTGCCCTTGAGGAAACCGAGCCTCAGGCAGCCTCCCCAGGGCCCTGTGCAGCTGGGGCGGGCGGGCGGGGCGGCCTGGCTGTCTGTGGGCCCGCGCCCTGGGGGCCGTGATGGCGGTCTGCATGGGCTCACCCATGGCGTCCCCCTGTGCTTGCGCCTCCGGGGGCTTGAGGGCCTCCTGCTGCCCGTAGGCCAGGTTTAAAGTGCGACCCCATCCAGCCATCGCCTGCCGTGTCCCTGCAGCCGGGGCTGGGCCTGGCCGGCGGAGGCCAGGGGTTAGGGGAACATCGTGTGTACTAAGTGTGTCTCAACACATATTTGTTATTGACTGGCCGTGTCTCTGCCCCTCCTTCGTGGACTTCCCGCCAAATCGCCTGATGCTCATGATATCACCGTAATATCAGAAGTTCCTGGCAGGACAAGTGCGCACTATCTCCCCGCCTCAGAGATGGCTGCAGACGGCAGTTATGGCCGCTCAGCAGGGCTGTCTGTCTCCACACAGGCCGCCGGCCTCCGACGCCCCCCCAGGTGGAAGCGGGGCGGGAGCCCACCCTGGCCAGTGAGCCGCAGGCAGCGCATCCTCTGCGGCCAGCGGCTGGGCGGGGGAGAGCGGGGCCACAGTGCCCGCAGGGCGCCCGCACGCTGCCCTGCGCAGGAGGCCCGGGGCCGAGCGTTTCTGGGCTGGCTCATGGAACAGTGAGCCAGGGGGTGGAGGCATCCTTCTCTGTTAGAAGAAGAAATAGGCCGTCTTAGGTCAGGCAGTAACAACGTGCATCCCGAGATCTTCCCTTCGTTTTCTCCCCTTAGAACACAGCTTCACGCTGGTTGGCGTGTGTGTGTGTGTGTGTGTGTGTGTGTGTGTGTGTGTTTGTTTGGGCTCTTTTTTGGTTAATCCTCACTGGAGGATAGTTACCCATTGATCTGAGAGAGAGTGGAAGGGAGGGGAGAGGAGGAGAGAGAAACATTGATGTGAGAGGGCCACATCAGTGGTTGCCCGAGGCACGTGCCCCGGAAACCTGCAACCCAGGCTCGCGGCCCTGACCGGAACGGAGCCTGCCGATCTTCAACTTTATGATGAAGAGATCAGTCGTGTACAAGCAGCAGGATGGGGGCTCCCCTAGGGGGGGTGTGGGGAGAAGGACAGGAGAGAGGGGCAAGCACAGGCCCTGACGGGGTGCTGGGAGGGTCCAGACCTCGGGTGGGGAGCGCACACGGCCATGCAGGTGTCAGAACATTGCACGCCTGAGGTTTACGTTGTATGACTAACCAGCGTTACCCCAATACGTTTAACAAACATTTAACCGGTCATAGGCTTTGTGAGAATAGGATGATTGCTTTAAGGAGAAAATCCCTAAGTGGCGGAATGACCTGAGTGTTCCCCAGGCACTGAGAGCTGGTAAAACCCCATACCTGGCACCTTTAGAAGCAGCGCCCGTTGTTTGGGGTCTAACGCTGGAGTCTTCGCTTAGCCCAGGAGCGGGGCCTGCGGGGTCTCTGGGCCCCCCGTCTCCGCGGCTCCGTGGGTGTGACGGGCAGGCAGCCTGTGTGCTCCGTTCTGGATGAGAACGAGGTCCCGTGACAGATGCACTCGGAGGGCCCGCAGCCCGGGGAGGGGTCCCGCTTGGAATGGCGGGGTATAGATGCATTTACACTCCGTCTTCGTACTGTGGATGGAGTGGTCATGGCAGAACGTCCCATCGGAAACTACCTTCCCCCCGGGAGACGTTTTTTGTGGATGAGTTGATCTTGTTAAAAACGCACCTGCCTCCTGACGGAGGGACCTCAGCCCTGGGGTCCTTGCCGTGGCCTGGGTGCTGCACTGGTCCGGGTGCTTTTCGCTGGGGGGACTGAGAGCCGCACGTCGCTGCTCAGACCCTCGTGCGAGGAGGCGGTCGGAGGATCGGTGCGGCTCCTTTTCTAGACACGGATCCGTGTCCCAGGCCCCTGGGCCGAGCGAGGGACAGACGCCGGCCTGGCGGGCGTGTGCCCTGCGCCCTGAGCTTGCTGTGTTGGGGGTGAGACGTGTGGGACGGCGCCCTGCCCGGCGAGGTGGCGTGCCAGCAGCTGACAGTGCCTCTCCTTCCCAGCCGTGGGCGGGCGGCGCAGCCTGTGGGAACCCCTGTGCCCTGATGCCCACGCCGGACAAGGACGACAACGAAGTGGCGTACCCCACCTCCGCACACAAGCACCCCTGCGCCAGGCCCCCCCGGGCCTCACCCCTGCCTCTGCTGAAGTGAGTGCCCGCCCTGCGCCCCGCGGCCCGCGCAGTGCAGCGTGGCGTGGGCCCGCTGACCCGGCCTGTCCCTGCTGTGGTCCCCGCAGCTGGGCAAACCGGGAGGAGGTGTGGATGATCATGCTGAAAAAGGAGATGCGGTACCTGCACGACCAGCACCTGCTGCAGCGGCACCCGCTCCTGCAGCCGAGGATGCGCGCCATCCTGCTGGACTGGCTGATGGAGGTGAGCTGCTCGCCGCGGGCTTCCCCCGGCACGTTCAGAGGCCCCGCCGCTGGGGGCGGCCGGAGGCGAGGCCCCCTCGGTCCGAGGCTGTAGTCTGTGTCCCAGTGAGAGCCTACCCGCAGCCTGGGGCCTTCACTCTGCTTCCCAGAGCTCTGCCTCCCCTGGAGGAGCATTTGGGCATGGTGGTTGCTTTTATTTTCTTCCTTTAAATGTATTACTGATTTCAAGAGAGAGAGAGAGAGAGATGATGTGTTTGTTGTTCCGCTGATTTACGCATTGACCGGCTGGTTCTCGTATGTGCCCTGACCGAGGACCCGGCTGCACCCGTGGTGTCTGGGGCTGACCTCCCGGCCCCGGGGGGGGGGGGGGGGGGGGAGCTGTATTTACCAGGCGCGCTGCCCGGCGGGAGGAAACGGCTGGTGCTCCCCGTCGGAATGACGCTCACAGGGGGCGGCACCCACAATCCTAGCATTTGAGCGGTCGCAGCTCGCTCCTCGGCGTCCACTTCCCGGGTCTGCCGGGGGCCGGCGGGAGTCCTGGCAGGAAAGCGCTTCCCCGCGGCCTGTCCTCCTCAGCCCGGCGGCCTCCGCCCCTGCTGCCCCCGCAGGTGTGCGAGGTGTACAAGCTGCACAGGGAGACCTTCTACCTGGCGCAGGACTTCTTCGACCGCTACATGGCCTCGCAGCACAACATCGTCAAGACGCTGCTGCAGCTCGTCGGCATCTCGGCCTTGTTCATCGCCGCCAAGCTGGAGGTGCGTGCCGGGCCCGGGTGCGTGCTGGACCCGGGGCGCATGCCTGCTGCCCGGGGCGTGTGCCTGCTGCCCGGGGCGCGTGCCTGCTGCCCGGGGCGCGTGCCTGCTGCCCGGGGCGCGTGCTGGACCCGGGGCGCATGCCTGCTGCCCGGGGCGTGTGCCTGCTGCCCGGGGCGCGTGCCTGCTGCCCGGGGCGCGTGCTGGACCCGGGGCGCGTGCCTGCTGCCCGGGGCGCGTGCTGGACCCGTGGTGCCTGCCTGCTGCCCGGGGCGCGTGCCTGCTGCCCGGGGCGCGTGCTGGACCCGGGGTGCCTGCCTGCTGCCCAGGTAGGGCTCATGCTGCCCCGAGTGCCACCGAGATGGGGGCGAGGCCCACTGTGTACACCGCACACCCTGCATCTCCCACGTGAGGCCCCTAGCACTGAGGCACACACAGACCCTGAACAGGAGTGAGAAGGGCGAGAAGCCGTGCGTGCGTGAACGCTCAGGGTCACGTGTCTGACAAGTGGGGAAGGTGGGCCTGACCTCAGGAGTGCAGCTGCCGGACGAGAGCATCCAAAGAGGCTCTCCCAGTGCTGGAAGAGGGACCTTTCAGACTCCCCCCAGCGAGGAGAAGTTTGATTGATTGATTGATTGATTGATTGATTGACTGGTTGGTGAGGGTGGGTGTTTCATTTCTTTCCCTTCACGCAGTGTGAACCCCTGGAGTGGGCCTGCATGTATCCCAGCAATGTACCCCCTTCCTTCCCGGCCACGCCCCCCCCTTCCCTGGCCGTGCTCCTCCTCGTACCCGCCGCCACCCTGGGAATGCGTCCGGTTAGTAGCTCTTTAGGAGGTGGATGGCGAGGGGCTCTTGCCAGTAGCTCTGCTCCTCCAGGAGATCTACCCGCCGAAGCTGCACCAGTTCGCGTACGTCACGGACGGGGCCTGCTCGGTGGAGGACATCCTCACCATGGAGCTGATCATCATGAAGGTGACCCGCTCTGCCGGGGCGTCCGCCGCGCCCTCCCGACCGCGGCCGGGGCGGCTGCACCGTCAGCTCCCTGTTCCCTCCTCAGCCACAGCCTCCCTCCCTCTCCCGCAGGCTCTGAAGTGGCAGCTGGGTCCCCTGACCATCGTGTCCTGGCTGAACGTGTACCTGCAGGTGGCCTACCTGAACGACATGCACCAAGTGCTCCTGCCCCAGTACCCGCAGGACGTCTTCATCCAGGTCGCAGAGGTGGGTGCCCGCCCCCGCCCCGCCCCCGCCCCCGGCGGCCCGGCCGCCCGCTCAGCACTGTCTCCCGCAGCTCCTGGACCTGTGCGTGCTGGACGTGGGCTGCTTAGAGTTCCCCTACGGCGTCCTGGCCGCGTCCGCCCTGTACCACTTCTCCTGCCCCGAGCTGACGCACAAGGTCTCAGGTGCGCCTCCCCTCCCCGCCCCCCTTCCCGCTCGCAGGCTCCGGCCGCCGCCCCCCCCGGCGCTGACGTGTGTGTCCCCCAGGGCTGACGTGGAAGAACATCGAGAAGTGCGTCAAGTGGATGATCCCCTTCGCCATGGTCGTCAGGGAGACGGGGAGCTCGAAGCTGAAGCAGTTCCGGGGCGTCCCGCCCGAGGACGCCCACAACATCCAGACCCACCTGAGCAGCCTGGACCTGCTGGTCAGTGCCCGGCTCCCCCGGAGGGCCGGCCTGCGCTGAGCCCCGTGCGGCCGGGCTTCTGGATTCTTCTCTGCTGTTCCCCCTCCCTCACCCCTGGGAAGCAGCACACCCTCTCCCCGTAACACTCTGTCCTTGTCTGCAGGACAGAGCGCAGGCCAAGAAAGCCATATTGTCGGAGCAGAATAGGGCTTCTCCCCTCCCGTCCGGGCTCCTCACGCCCCCGCCGAGCAGCAAGAAGCAGAGTGGCGAGCCGGAGCCGGAGTGACCGCCAGCCTCCACCAAAGACAGTGGTGCCCAAGTGCCTGCCCGCCCCGCGCCGGAGGCCGCCCCAGCTCCGGGCGCCGAGCACCCTCTGTGGACGGCACCGGACGGAGCGCCGCCCGCGGCCTCGATGGTGCGACCAGCGGGTCAAGTACACCAGCCACCTCCGGACACGACGCGTCTCTGCTGCTAGGAGGGTGCTGCTTGACCGGATGGCTCCCGGGCCGGAGCGCGGGGCTGGGGCTGGGGCTGGGGCTGGGGCCGCGGCCTCCGGTCGGGGCCCACGGTGCTGGGGGTCCGCCCTCCACTCTATCATTGGTAACTTACATGCCTTTTATGAACTTGTTCTAAGTGCTGCTACGACTCCTGTTTTAATAAAGGTCACCCTGTCTGAGCCGCTGGCTCCACGCGGTGTCTCATTGGCCTCCGGCGCCGGCGGCGAGTGCGGCTGCGGGCCGCTCCGGTCCAACGCCGCTTCCTAAGCTCCAGGCTTCCCCCGGGGGAGCTCGGGCCAGCCGCCCCGCCCCCGGCCCCATCGAGTGCGGCTCCCCAGCCCTGCTCCCACCACCCCGCCTGCAGGGCTTCCTTCCGGAGGTCTCAGCACAGAGGCCTGAAGGTGCCAAGCGCAGTTACACGCAGCTCTGATGTCCTCTGCCCTCTGACCCCGGCCACCGACACGGTCACCGCGGTCGGCTCACGCCACGCGTGTTGGCTGTCCTCGACGTGGCGGCCTCACAGCCTCTTCCTTCCTCAGGATTTGGTGTGTGACTGGGCTCGTAAAAGGGAGGTGAACGGGCGAATAAACCCACTTGTTTCCAACGTGGCATCCTTATCTCGTTCTGTACAACATCTGCCCGACGCAGAAGGAAAAGCAGCCGTTTCCAACGTGCCCTGTTTGTAGAAGCTGGAGAGAGAGCAGGCCTAGGTTCTGACAAGTTTAATACCGTTTCCTGAGCCTCCAGGCCATGCCGTGCAGCTGCGAGTGACACCCCGACAGCAATTCCTCCATTTCAGCTGGAAAAATGTTTATTTTTTGTTGATTTCAGAGAGGAAGAGAGAGAAACATCAATGATGAGAGAATCGTGGATCGGCTGCTTCCTGCACGCCCCCTACTGGGGATGGAGCCTGAAGCCTGAGCATGTGCCCTGTCCGGGAATCGAACCCTGACCTCCTGTGTCATAGGCTGACGCTCCACCACTGAGCCATGCCGGCCCGGCCGTTCCAGCTGAATTTTTAGCGTTAGCGTTTGCAGGTGGCTTGCAAAAAAAAAAAAAAAATCCTAAACATGGTTCGTTTCCACTGGGCACTTTCTATGCAGAAGGATGGCAATGAAACCATTCCTATTTTCAAGGTTTTCTTAGGAGTCTGGGAGCTTGGCACGGGGGAGGTCACACAGGTCGGAAAGAGGTTTGAGGTGCATGTTAATTTCCAGGCTGCCGGCAGCCGTCAGGCTGTGGGGGTCACTGAGTGTGAGGAGCTGAGGCCGCCGTGTGTGTGTGTGTGTGTGTGTGTGTGTGTGTGTGTGTGTGAGAAGTGGCTGGAATGCTGCACTTCCGGAAGTCCCTCTTTTTTTAAATGAAAGCGGTGCCACGGGCAACTCTGAACCTGCTAGTGAAGGTCTGTCCTGGTGGGTAAGTGAACTTGGAGTAATCGATACGGCCCGTGGCTCAATGGTTAGCGCGCCACCCCACGGACTGAAGGGCTGTGAGTCCGATTTTGGTCAAGGGCATGTACCTCAGTTACAGGCTTCATCCTCGGCCTGGTAGAGGAGCGTGTGAAAGGCAACCAATCCATGGCTCTCTCATATTGACGTTTCTCTCTCCCCCCCTCCCTTTCACTCTAAAAACCGATAGAAAAATATCCTCAGCCCTGGCCGGTGTGGCTCAGTGGATAGAGCATCCGCTGCGGACTGAAGGGTCCCAGGTTCGATTCCAGCCGAGGGCACAGGCCTGGGTTGTGGGCTCAATTGGCAGGAAGCAACCCATCAATGACTCTCATCAGTGATGTTTCTACCTCTCTCTCCCTCTCCCTTCCTCTCTGGAATATGAATATATATCTAGATATATATCTATATATATATATTTTATTGGTCACGTATATATATGTGACCAAACGTTCCGCTTTTGGAAAAATCGGGACTTTTAAAACACGGCGGGACGAGGGACAAATTGTTAAAAATCAGGACGTCTGGTCTCTTTACCTTGACTGGAATCAAACCTGGGACCCTTCAGTCCGCAGCGGATGCTCTATCCACTGAGCCACACCGGTTTCGGCTCAAGTCACATTTCTACCTTGTTTGTTGTTGGAAGACCATCTCCATCCCCGCCACGACCCTCTAAGTTGCTGGTTATGGGTCTCAGATTGCCACCAAGGGCTCAGTTTGGGGAAGAATTGTCCTGTTGCATCACATGCGCCATCCAGGCCACGCGGTCCTTGGTCCCTCCAGGTGACGTGCCAGCAGGGTGGGCGAGGAGTAACGGCATTAGGAGCCTGCACGCCAGACCTCGAGGTAGCTAATCCGCGGTAGCTAATTCCCAGGCTTCTGGGCTGTTCCCCGAGCCTCAGACGGGGCAATGGCATCCTTCAGTGCGCTGGTCGGCAAACCGCGGCTCTTTGGCCCCTTGAGTGTGGCTCTTCCACAAAACACCACGGCCTGGGCGAGTCTGTGTTGAAGAAGTGGCGTTAGAAGACGTTTACGTTTAAAAAAATGTGGCTCTCCGAAGGAATGTCAATCGTTGTCCTGTTGGTATTTGGCTCTGTGGACGAAGGAGTTTGCCGACCACGGGCCTAGCTGGTTTGCTCAGTGGATAGAGCGTCTCCTGCGATCAGAACCGTCCTGGTTTGTTTCGGGTCAGGGCACAGGCTGATCCCCAGCGTGAGGCGTGCAGGAGGCAGCCGATTCCTGATTCTCTCTCATCGTTGATGTTTCTTCTCTCCCTCCCTCTCCCTTCCTCCCTGATATTTAATTGATAATATATATCAATTAAAATATATATTTCCCCCTTTTGGTGCACTGGTGGGGGGGTGCCCTCTCCGATTGCTGTGGAGTTTTCTCTGGGGGGATGAACCCCGATGTATATCATCTCTCCACGCCGGCCCAGGGCCGGCCGCCGCCATGTGCACCTGTGTGCGCAGGTGCGGCTCACCCCCGCCCCCCACCAGCAGGCAGCTGCCCGCACCTTTGCCACCTGCGGCCAGCTACTTCCCCAAATCGTGCCGCTTTCCGCCCGCCCCCACGCCTGCTCTGACCCCGGCGTGCCACCCCTCTCCCCAGGAACATGGCTGCGGTGCGGCTCGACTGGCTTTTCTCTGATTATGAAAGTGAAACACCCGTTTGCTATAAGATTTTTAAACAACGAGGACGAACACAACACAGTCTGAGAATCCCCAGAGATGGCTCTCCCCGTCCGCTCCAATACTGCTCGCTGCGCACACCAACATGCAGAGGAGCGAGCGGGAAAGCCTGCTGCAGGCTGCGGCAGCCATTGTCTCCTCTCAGCGCTTTTAAAGGCACACACAAGCCCACTCCTGCGGTCACTTTTTCTTTTTTTTCTGAGTGCCCGCCAATTGGTTTCCTCGCTCAGCTCAGAATTCCATTGCCTGGCATGTATCAGGTGCTCATTAAAGGTGTGCTCCATGCCGAAACCGGTGTGGCTCAGTGGATAGAGCATCGGCCTGTGGACTGCAAGGTCCCAGGTTCGATTCCAGTCAAGGGCATGTACCTTGGTTGCAGGCACATCCCCAGTAGGAGGTGCGCAGGAGGCAGCTGATGGATGTTTCTCTCTCATGGATGTTTCTAGCTCTCTGTCCCTCTTTCTCTCTCTTCCTCTGTAAAAAATCGATAAGATATATTTTAGAAAAAGAAAAAGAAAAAGGTGTGCTCGTGAACGGAGGGGCGGCTGGACGGATTCCATTAAACTTCTTATTCTTCCGGAAGAATACAGGCCCCTCCCGGCCAAAGGCAACCTGAAGGTGGAGAAGCCAGCCATGGGCAGGCCCGGGGCAGGCCCTCCTGAGAGGAGAGGTGCCGCCCACCATCGCATTCCGATTCCTGGGGGGATCACAGGCGGGGAGGAGGGGAGGAGGGCAGACTTCCGCAGGCCCGGGCTCCGATGTGTCCGATGGGGACGGAGCTGGATGCGCAGTCCACTCACCAGGATGGTGAGCCCGCGGGGGGGCCCTCACCGCCTCCGAAGGAAAAGCCCCAGAAACCCAGAGTTACCATGTCCCAGCATCGGAGTCTTCCAGAAAGTTCCGTGTCTCTGTGTGCGACGGCGGTGGGTCTGAGGAGCCTGTGTCCTCTGTCCCTGTCTGTCTGCCTGTCCCTGAGGCTGTCTGCTGTGCGGAGCGTGTCCGTGGGGGCAGTAAAGCCGCCCGCGGGCTGTGGGTGGGCCCCGCCAGGCTTTGGGCTGCAAAGTGGTTTCGCGGATTTATTTTTAATCGTATTTCTGTTTCAGAGCGAGAGAGGAAGAGGAAAACGTCCATGTGGGGGAGAAGCACCGGTCAGTTGCCTCCAGTACCGGGGATCAAACCCGCAGCCAGGGTCTGTGCGCTGACCAGGAATCGAACCAGCGGCCTTTCCAACGGAGCCACACCTGCCAGGCACGGGGTCTGAGCCACGGCTCCCACCTTTCCCGCGTGGGGGAGCTCACGTAGGGACAGGGCTCCCAGCTGGGGGGGGGCGGGGGGCAGGAGGGCAGTGCCCACCCCGGACAGAGACCCAGCGTCCCACCAGGTCCCGGCTCTGTCCCGCGTGAGCGCCCCCTCGTGGTGAAACCAGGTGACAACACCGGTGAGACGAGAAAAGGAAGGCCTGGACCGGCCGGCGGGTCCTCAGGGGTTGAGCACTGACCGAGGAACCAGGAGGGCCGGGTTCCATCCCCAGGCAGAGCACAGGCCCGGGTTGCGGGCTCCATCCCCAGTGGGGGGCGGGCAGGAGGCAGCCGGTCCACGGTTCTCTCTCATCGCTGATGCTTCTCTCTCTCTCCCTCTCCCTTCCTCTCTGAATTCAATAAAAATATAAAAGAAGAAGGAGGAAAGGAAGGTGCCGAGGGCAGTGGCCAAGGAGCAGGTTTTCCCAGGCGGCAGGCACCTGAGCAGGTTCACACGCCCACAAAGCTCCTGTCCCGGGATGCGCCCCCCGCCCCCCCCCCCCCGGCTCCCACGGGGTCCGTGTCAGGTCGCGGGGCGGGACCTCTGTGGCTTCCAGCTCAGCCTGAGGACCCAGAGCCTCGG